GAACACCCCTGGCTGCGAGCTGAGCCCGTGCCAAGGACGGTGACACTGCTTCTCCGCTCTGGGTCCCACTGACAGCTTCGGCTGAGCCTCCCCCCCAGTTGCACCCATGAGGTCCAGCTCCCCAACTCTGGCCCACAGGAGGAAGGGGTTGGGAGTGCTCACGGATGCCTGCATTAGCTCCATCCCAGTCCCCTCCAGTGCACGGGCACGGGGAGCCGGGTGTTGAAGACTCAGGCCCTTCCCTCTCTGTGCATCGTGTGGATAAAGTTCCCTGGAGGGGTTGCGAGGCCACGCCGGCTCTCGCTGCGGTGCACGCGGCCCCAGGGCTGTCTGGAAGGGACACCAGAAATGCCGTTCCCGATAGGAAGAAAGCAGGGACGGAGCTGCTCGGGACAGCTTCTTCCCCACGCCGTTCCCCCCGTGCCTCTCTGCCTTGCCCTGTCTCACAGCTGTTTTGCCCCCCATGCCCTCTCCATCACCCCAGCAGCGCATGCCCTACCCGCAGCACCTCCCACGGGCTTCCTGTGAAAGCCGGCCCCCGGGGATGCCCCGCACAGGTACAGTATGCCACCCGCGAGTCTGCTGCCTCCCTGCCCCATCCCCAGGCCTGGACAGGGCAGGTCACGCCATGGTGCTATTGATGAAGCCATTGTTACGATGATCAAGCCTTTTGTTTTTGCATGACTCTCTCTTCTTTTTTCTCTCTCTCTCTTTCTCTTTCTCTCCCCCCCCACCTTGTCCATCTCCCCATGCCCCATCTCTCTCGCTTCCTCTCTGCTGCTCTCCTCTATCCGCTTGCCAGTCATTGCTTGTCCCTGGGAAAACGCCAAGTAGGTACGGACGTCGAGGCAGCGCCATAGGGATAGGAACCATAGAAGAGGTTGATGTCTCTCTCTCTCTCAATCTCTCTCTCTTCCCCTCTCTCTCCCCGCTGTCCCCTGCTCTGGAGCTGCCGCTTTGCATGCAGTGGGGGTCTCGGCAGGGAACCGGACCATACTGGGAACACTTTTGCCCGTCCTCTGTCACATGTGGCCTGAGATGGGGCGTTGAAAGCATCGGGGTCCCTTCCACACCTTCACCCCGTTGGCCTGCCCAGCGCTGCCCGGGACCCTTCGAGCACCAGGGCTTTCTGCAAGCCGTGGTCCCATCACGCCCCTGCCATGTTCAGGGCTTGGCTTCACTGCAGAGTCACCTCCGATCCTAGCTCGATTTTGCTCCTGGCACTTGTGGGTCCTCCAGCAACAGCCACAGGGCACCAGGCAGCTGCAGCTGACGTGGCTGCTGCCGTGGCAGCCTCCAGTGCCTTCCCCTTCCCCGTTGTGTGCCCAGAAAGGGCAGGTGGGATCTGCTCGCTGTCGTGCAAAGACCTACAGGGCATCCTCCTGGAGCACGAGCGAGCCGGCACGCAGCCGCTCGGGTGCGATTCCCCGCTAACCCCAGCTCTGCAGCGAGGACAGGCCCCGGAGAGCCCGGCAGTGTGCTGCCGGCATGGCCAGGAGGATGTGCCCTGTGGTGCTCTCGCCGCAGACCGCACCCCCTGCCCCAGTATTCCCAGTATTGTCCCAGCGTGTTCCCAGTATCGTCCTCCTCTGCCATGGCCGGGGGTTCACGTCGAGTCTGTCTGCAAACGGACTCACTGAGAGTCCGCCCGTGCCCCGGCTGGCCTCGCGCCCCCGCCTGCTTGGTGCATTCAGATCTGCATGAGAGCGGTGACCCCAGACTGGCTCCCACCCCCCTCCTGCCTTGGCTCCCACTCCCGCCCCCCGGAGAGTCGCCAGCACTGAAGCTTGATCCCTCGGGGCGCAGCACGGGTGGCCCCGTCCTCTTTGCTCGGTGCGCTCCTGAGCTGACTGGTAGCCAGGCCAGTGGTTAGAGCCAGGGCCGGACTCCCCGGTGCTGCTCCCGGCTGTGCCGTGCGGTCGGAGAGCAGGGAGGCACCGCAGCCGCCTCCTCCGTAGAGCAGGGCCTTTCTCCCTGGGAGGTCCTGGGGCAGGGGTGCCGCAGCCCCACATCGGGTTTGCAAAGGGCTCTGGCTGTGTTGGAGCAGCTCCACTGCCCTAGCCAGACCCCAGAGCTACCAGCACCTCCTCCCGGGGCCTGACCCCCTTCCTGCTGCACCTCCACCCTTGCGGATGGCAGGTTCCTGGCCTGAGGCCACGTCCTCCAAGATGCCACGTGTCCTTCACGCACATTGGGCCAAGAAGCTGTCCAGTGCCCATCACGCCTCTCCCAGCCCAGCCTGCACCCCTCGCGATGCCATGCTATAGGGCGGGGGGAGCCCTGCCCCAGGGCACAGCCATGCTCCCATGCAGACAGGGCAAAACCGTGGCCGTGCTCCCCCCACCTTCCCAAGCGCTGATCTCAGCCGCACCAGTAGAAATGGGGGCTTTAGGTGGGTGCTTACTGGAACAGACGTGCCCAGAGCTGGCTGCATCTCATGCTGGCACCTGGGCACTGGATGCCCTGATTAGGCAGGCACCACGGGTCCCGGTGCAAATGCCCCAGGGGACCTGCATAGTCACCGGTGGCCTGTCTCCAGGATCCAGACCTGTTTGTCCTTGCTCCCAACCTGGTTTACCCACCCCGGAGCGCGGGCCCCTGTACGTCTGCGTGCACGTGTGTGCGGACCGCGGTGGGGGTCCTCTGGAAGCCCTGCCGGCGGGCAGTCCCAGCCGTCAGCGGGGCTCTCTTACCGATGAGACGACTGTCTTCCAGTCACTGATCGTTCCCGGGAAGAGCCCGACCCGGAAGAAATCGGGGCCCTTCGGCTCCCGGAGAAGCAGCGCCATCGGCATTGAGAACATCCAGGAGGTGCAGGAGAAGAGGTGGGTGGAGGCAGGGGCACGCTGGCTTATTGGAGCAGGTGAAGGATGTGGGGAAAATGGGGGCGATGGGAGCAGCTGTGCCGCGTGCCGGCTGCGAGATGGAGCAGCGCTGAAACCAGGTGGAGATGCAGTGCCGGCAGCTCCAGGCGGGAGAGGGCTCCCCAGCCTGATTACTAGCATCTCCCCCCGGGGCCATTTGTGCCTCGCAGGGAGAGCCCAACAGGGACCCAGAAGACCCCGGACAGCGGCCACGTCTCCCAGGAGCCTAAATCCGAGGACTCGTCTAACCAGAGCTCCCCGGAGATGCCCACCACCAAGAACAGGTGGGTTCCCCCGGGCATGGAGGGACGCAGGCCGGGCATCGAGGCGAAGGGGAGCTGGCCCCTTTAGGTGGCCTTTGCAGGAGGACAGGGACCTGTGTGACATTGGCCAGGGCCAGAGACCCTGGGAACAGGCCTCCTGGCTCCCGGATGCCACCCGTGACCCTGCAGCCTTTGAAAAACCAGAAACCCCCCGATCGAAGCGTTCTCATGCCGCAAGCTGGCCGCAGGCCTCTGCCCTGCAAAGCTGGCCCTGGGGCAGCTGGCATTTCTTTTGGTGACCAGTGCAAAGGTGCAAGGAGCCCTGAAATGGCCCATCTGCACCTCTCTGGGGAGTGGGCTGATCTCCTCGCCAAGGGCAGCTTTTCTGGACCGCACAAGGTCTCTGGGGTGGGGAGCAGCGGTCAGAAGAGCCCTGCCGCGTGGTGTGTGCCCGGGCAGGGGCGGTGGCGCCTAACCGCTGCGTCTCTCCAGGGTGGAGGCCCTCGCTCAAAAGCCCGATGCGCTGCGGGATTTCTCCCGCTCCTCGTCCAGCGCCAGCAGCTTCGGCAGCGTGGTGGAGGAGAACGAGGGCGGCATTGACGACGACACTGGCATGGTAATAGCCCCTGGGTGCAGGGGAGGCGGCTTCTCCCCCAGCTTGGGGCACAGCCCCTACCGAACAGTGCTGACTGGGTCCCATCGGGCCTCGCCACGGCTGCGGGCATTGGGGAGGGAGTCTCCCAGCCCCCACCCACAGCGCTCCAGTCAGGGGGCATTTCCCTCACCCCCCTGCCCCCCGTTGCGTGCCGCAGGAAAGCCAGTCCTCCTCGGGGACCCCGCACAAGCGAGACTCCTTCATCTACAGCACCTGGCTGGATGACAGCCTCAGCACCGCCAGCGGGGGCAGCTCTCCAGGTACTGGCGCGGTGCGGCGCGGCGCGGCACAGCATCGGGGCGCCAGCCCGGCTCCGAGCCAGCTCCCAGCAGGGGCAGGCCCTGCACTGGGGGACACGGGGTCTCCTCCACTCACACCCATCCCCTTTCCCTGTCCCATCTGCTTTCTGCTCCTGTGATCTGCTGCTCTTTTTTCTGCTCCCTGCCCTCTCTGCTGCTATGTTGCCTCTCCTCTCCCTGGTTAGCCGTGTGCCAACACGGTGTCTGCTTCTGGCCACCTCTGCTGCAGAGCATTTGCCACCAGGCCCCATGCTAATTGTGGCTGGCTCAGCACCCCCAGGGGCACGGCGGTCAGGCTGGCACTGAGCCCGCAGCATCCCCTAGCCACAACGGGCCCGATCCTGCTCCACCGATCGGGTACTGTTGCGTGATCCTATTGCAGCCCGCTTGAGTCCGAGAAGCTGTTAAAGCCCAGGGTGGGTGAGACCTCCTTGCAGCTTTCTGGACGATAACAACATGATGCCCTAGTGCATTTTCAGCGACGCGTGTTGTGGGGAGGGCTGAGAATCAGGCCCTCAGCAACATGCACGTCTCTGTTACCCACTCGCCTCTGCATAGCGTTAAGCGTCTCACCCTGCCGGGAGCACTCATCTCCTCCCATCTCACATCTGTGTCTCTCTCCCCCCTTCGCTTTCAGGCCCCTCTCGGTCTCCTCAGCCAGACGCCAGAAAATCTGGGGACCCGGCTTGTCCAGAGATCAAAATCGAGCTGGAGAGGTCGGAGCGGCACACACCCCACCTGGTGAGAGCACTGCGGCCGGAGAAAGAGGGGAAGAGTGCGCAGGGCGCCCAGCAGAGACAGCCGGGGATGTATACGTGCATCAGGCCCCCAGCTGAGGAGTGCCATGAGCTCAGCAGGATGTGGGGGGGATTGTGGAGGGGCCTCGGAGGAGCAGGCTGCTGGGCCTCTGCATGGAGCAGGAGACGCGGTCTCTGCCCCCAGGCGCTGTGGTTTGTATTAGGTTTGCAGGAGAGAAGCAGCAGGAATTCCACCCCCCAAACACACACACAAACACACACGTAAACAGATGCCCGTGCACCCACACACGTACATAAATGCATGAATGTACACATGCACACATACATGCATATACACATGCGCAGACACATGCATGCACAGACACGGATGCACGCACATATACGCAGGCACAGACACGGATGCATGTACACATACACGCATGCACATACACATACACGTGTGCACACACCCATGCGTGCACACAAATGCGTGCACACACGCACATACACATAGAAGTGTACACAGATGCATGCACACACACACATTCATGTACATGTACACGGGCACATGCGCACACCCATACAGGGCTCTGCAGGACAGAGTATCTCATGAGCTGTATCAGAAATCCCAGCCCTAGGGCAGTGGTTTGCCTCTCGCTCACTTCGCAGACAAGCCCAGCGCTTGTTAAAATTTTCCAAGCTGTCGATATTCCAGCCTTGAATTCCACTGATGTGTCGGCTAAAGGAGTGTGAGCACGAGGCTGCGCGGACAGGAAGCCTTTCCAAACGCCTCGCCCCGACCCGTAGCAGTAACGGAGGTTTGGGCTCACTGTCAGAACAGTGCCAGATTTTTTTGGCTCATCTCAAAATGTTTCCGCGTTTTGGTGATGTCCAAAATAGCGTCACTGTGACCCAGGTTGAAACGTTGCATTTTGGAGTGAATTAAGGGTGTTTTGTTTTTAATCATGTGGAAGGACATGTGCAAACAAAAAGCTGTTCTGGATCTAGTCGCCGCTTGTTTTGTAACACGAGGGGCTCAGTGAAGCCTGGACGAGCTGTACGAGCTGGTTGGGTGTTGCCCCGGTGCATTATCCTGGCCCTGAAGCTAGTTCGGTCTGAAATATTTTGCTCGAAGTCTCATGCTGCCTTGGCCAGCAGTTCTGGGCATGGGGGCAAGGATGAGCAGCAGGAGACAGTTGGCCCCATGGGCGTCAGGCCCTGCTTTCTGTACAAATATCAGGGCGACCTGGATAGACAGGGTTGCTATGGTCCCTGTAACACAGGTGCAGGGTGGCACCGAGCTAAACCCTCTGACCTTGTGCTGGGACGTGCAGTGTCCAGCCTCCTCGTCTCCGTCCCTGCCCGGTTCCTGCTGGAGGGAGGGGAGGAGCGGGCGTGGAGTGTGTGTCCCTGATGTCGTGGCTCCCTCTGGCTCCAATTAATGTCCTCCTCTTTGTGTGTCTGTCTGTGCAGAGCTGCTAGCCCTCCCTCCCCGGCCTCCGCGGATGCGCGCTCCTGCCAGGTCAGCACCGCCTCGCTTCTGCCTGCTTCCCCCTCTTGGATCCAGGGCTGGGCACATTGGGCAGACGCACCTGGCCGCAGCAGCCTGCCAGGGAGGTGCTGACTGCCATGGGGCATGCACCGTGCGTCCCTCAGCCCTCCGCGAGTGGGGTCACCGCACCACGTCCCTAGCCAGGGCTCGTACGCCCCAAATCGCTCCAACCTCACCCTGTGGGCATCTGCAGAGCCGGGCTGGCTCACAGCCAGAGCCCAGCTGGTTTTGCCCTTGTCCCTGGATGTGCCCAGAACATGACAGCCTCACCTCTCCTCCCGGGCCCCTGGCATTAGGCACCGGGCCCCTTGCCCTGCCCAGCACCGTGCAGCCTGCCCGAGCGGGTCCCTGCCAGTGCAAGGGCCAAGGACTGCCTAGACCAGGCCATACAGCATTTGTTTCTGCTTGTTGCCCTCCCTCCCTTTCTGCCCAGTAGCCCCAGTCCCGTGTCTCCCCACCCCAGCCCTGCCCTGTCTGTTCTCGGCCCTGGCTCAAAGGCGATGGAGTTGCAGGGGTGTTGGGGGACAGCTCTCTCGTGGTCCAGCCCAGCCGCCTCCTGACCCACTCCCCTTCTCCCGCAGCACCCACAGAAGAAGCACAAGCTGAAGGACTTGCGGAGGGTCCCGCTCTTTGTCACAGCAGACAGCCTCTGCCCCATCGCCAAAGCCAGCCTGCCGAAGCCTGCGTCCTAGACGGCTAGACCCACACTCCTGCCTGCCTTCCCGCTTCCAGGCTGGACAGCAGCTTCCCTGCGGCGCGGAGAGCCTGGGAGCAGCGACGACGTGTGAGAGGCACCCGCCACCGCTCTCCTGCTCCTGAAGCTGCTGCAAGACCTTAGAAGAGGGTGGCAAAGACCCCGCTCCTCTCCTGCCCCATGACGGCCACCCATCGTGCTCCCAACCCCGTCGCCAGCCCCCCGCCGGGTCCGATCGCTGCAAGTTGCCGACGGGACTTGCAAACGAAGCCGGACGCATCTTGCCCCTCCAGCTCTCGCCTGCTGAACCGTGATGTGCCCCGCAGAGCTCTGGCACGGCCAGTCCTCGGAGGAGCCCTGCCAGCAAGAAAGCCACGGGCACCCAGGTGCCCGCAACCACCAGGTGACGCGGGACGGTAGAGCTGGGGCTCATCCATGGCAGGACAATCCCCCCGGGCAGCTAGATCCAGCCTCCTCTAGGCGCCACCTCCTCTGGGTGAGCTCTGCTCCCATCCCAGCCTCAGGTTAGCTG